TTTTCAGATTTTTTAAATTTAATTTGATAAAGCTATTCTAATTGCATATAAAATTAATTATTTTTTTATAATTAAAACATATAAAAAAATAATTAATTTTATATGTAATTAGAATAGCTTTATCAGATTAAATTTAAAAATTATATGTTAAAATATATAATATTATCTTCATTTTAATGTAAAAATAAAAAACTTTTATATAAAGAGAAAAATTTGTATTTTACTATATTTAATTAATAAATTTTGACATTATTATATTATTTCTGATTGTCATTATATATACAAATAATTTAATTATTATTAATATTTTTTATATTTTTATTTTAAAAAACTTATTTTTTAAAAAATAAAAATTAATTTGATAAAGTTATTACAAAAATTTTTTATAATTAATTTTTTAATTTAATTATAAAAAATTTAAATTATTTCGACTATTAAGAAAAATTCTTCAAGAATATATCAAAAACCATTTTTATTTGTGATGCAACAATCTTGTTTTGAAATATTGACACTTTCCACATTCTTGCACAATTAAATAGTGCAAAATATCTATATTCATCAATAGATTGTATGTTTAATCCTATAAAACTCTTAACTAAGAAGTAAATCTGAAATTTGATCCATCAATTTGATAGAATGGTCTTCTTGGCATATTAATGGATTAAAGTTTGTGTTTACTTCCAGTTAAGAAGTTTATAGAACACAAAAACCTGAATAGTACAATTAATTTTCTTGATCATTTTAAAATCAATATAATTTTATTAATAATTAATATACCATTTCAATATATACTTGAAAAAGCCGATATCATGATAGCTAAATCAAATAAGCATCGCAATACGTATGTTAATCTTGCCAGCCGTAACTACAATGATTTATAATAAATTATGAATTTACATTACAGCAACGTTGCCGTATTGTTGCAAAATTTTGTATTTTTACAATTTGCAGTATTAGAGATAGAAATCTAATAAGAATCAATTAATTTTGTTAAATCGAGGAAATCGATTTGAGACAAAAATCAATTCATATATAGTGAAAAATTGATTCTAAAGTCAGTCGAATCAAATGTTGAGAATCGATTTGTTCTTCAAACTCCATTAATAGTGCATTAAAAAGAGTAATTTGAAACAATGATGATAATTGATTGATAGAAAGCTGTCGTTATTAGCGAACAATGACGCGTTGCCATTGTTTTATTGTTAATGTTCACAAATTGTTTATCAACACTAATTGTTATCGTTATCAAATACGTACTGTATTTCTGGTCAGGAGTAATGCAAATGATTTGATTTACTATATTGCATTATAACATATTACGGGGTGTTGACATACCGTAATTGAACTTTCAATTTGTATTAATAGTTGCAACTCCGCAATGTCGTTACAGCTGGCAAGCTTAGTGTATGTATAAACCACACGCACTCTCAATCAGTACTTTGTAAATATATAAATTTTAAACAAAGGCTCACAATATCAGCAAGCTTGCAAAAATTGCTCTATGCATAGATTAATATATTTATCAAATAAATAACATTTATCAACGCCTAATAAATAAATGAAGTTTTTATTAATATGAATATATTAATTTTTTTATTTATTAAATTATAAAGTAATGTGGACATAAATTGTAAAGTAATATAAATATATTAATTTCTTGTAATATAAATTATAGCAATTATTTCATGTCTTCACTACTCTAAATATACCTTAAAAAATCATCCTAAAATGATCTTTTTCTCTACTCTAAAAAACTCACGCCCAATCAAAGTAATGAAAAAGATTGGAAACGACTTTTTAAACTTTGTAAAAACTAAGTTCTCGTCTAAAAAAAATAGCTCTGAGCGTGAATTAAAATCGACCCGACAACAAATGAAATTGTTTATGATTCCAGCACCATCTTTCAAATATCCCGAAAATCAATTTTTCGATAGCCATTTATCGCATCAATCAACCAACAATCACACAAAAGAAGACTTTGAAAATTTCAAGGAAAAAAGCCCGATCTTTATTTTACAAAAAACAAAAAGCAATCAATTTAATTCACTCTTCTTTGAAAATTATATCCCGACATACGATGACAAAGAATTTATCAACTCTTCTAAGACGAATTTCCACGATTCCGTCGAATCTTATCTTCATTACTTAGATTCAATTGATCATGCAGAAGCATTCAAAAGAATAAGACATAGAAATTTTAATCGGTATTTTGAAAAGTTGCTTGAGCCTAATAATTACTTTGATGGGTATTTTAATGATTATGAAAGCGAAGAAGGAATATTCCCATTTGAAATGTAGAATATCAGTCATCCTTTTGTTTTTTATATTCTCATGTATATTCTATATTGTGTCGTTTTATTAGAGTACTATATAAAATTCACTGGAAGTTTTTAACAAGGCAGCTTACTTTATGAATACGTATATACATGTACTTCAAAAGGATATCAATATACACTACGTACTTTACAAAATCTACTCTCTCTGAAAACAAACAATTAATGCTAAGAACATCGCCACTTTTGAATTACCTAATACCGATACTTCCAAGTAGAGGTTGGAACCGGTTATATTTTTACAAACCGATTTTAATAACAGCTTGAAAATTGCAACCGGTTATAAATCGGTTATATATTAAAACTGGTTTTAAACAATAAACCGATTATATTAATTCGGTTTCAACCGATTAATCGGTTATATTAATTCGGTTTCAACCGATTAATCGGTTATAGTATTTTCTCCACATTTTTTCGAAATACAAAATCCATACTACGTAATTATCGTTTACAACCGGTTACATGTATATTAAAACCAATCAATCGTTTGCAACCGGTTATATTAAATCCGATTAATCGTTTACAACCGGTTATAATAAAACCGATTATAAATTAAAATCGATTAAACCCCGGTTATAAATCCGATTCCGATAATCGGTTCTAACCTCTACTTCCAAGATCTTAATTAAATATTTTGCTATCTTGAATGTTACTTTCAGTTACGTAATTATTGGATTGGTTGCATTGGAATAAATTTTGTAATACGTACATGTATTTTTTTTTTGAGAATATCGATATCAATGAAAACCAACTATCATTCCATATATAGGTGGTTCAGCGTCTACACTATGTATCGGTATGTAAAATGTTCAAATTTATTTTTGGCAACCGTAATTAATTACGCCCCACTCTATAATTCTATATAAAACACTAATTTGATCAGATCTCCAGTCCGGTTTTTTAACAGTACATATCGATATCGATATACATGTACATGTACTTCTAGATAAATTACTATCCTTATCTTTATCAAATTATCAAATACAATACCGATACCTAACGCTAATTATTAATAAACAATATACGTACGTACATGTACATGTAAGGTAAAAGGGGGGGGGAATATTTTGGCGAATGGGTATTATCGTTATGGTGTTTTTAAAATTACTGACGCTAATATATTTTTAAAATATAAATATATAAAAGTCTTAAGCACACATAAGACAATATTATTACCATATTTTATTTTTTTATATAAGCATGACCCACCACAATAACCCCCCCCCCCCCCCCTTTACCTTATAAATAAACAATACTTAACTTTTTGATCTTAACTAGAGTTCTGTACTACATATAATCACATTAAACCTCTATACAGTCACAATCACTTTCGAATTTTTTGACTGATTACGATATGGAGATCCGACTACTTACGTATCATTACGTATGTAGTTAGCGTTAGAGAATGTATAAATGTGAAAAACCTTTAGAAAATAAATCCTATCGATATATATAAAAAAATAGTTTTAGTTCATTATCATATCAATAGTAAAATAGTGAAATTTAAAATCAAATGCTAACATCAAGATTATTTGTAAAATGCTTGTTTTTAAAATTAAGTGACGAACAGAGAAATCTCACAAAAAATTCTAGCGTCTCCAAATTAAACTTGGCACCCATTGGTTCTATCTCGTTTGAAAGATAAACATACAGAATTTTTAACAAATATTCATTTAAAATTAATTTGCGCGCCCGCATACTTTTAAAACGATCTACCTACGCAAAATTTTCTCAATATGTATGCGCATGATATAATATCATTATTGGATGATTTTTAATATTAATGTGTGAATTTTTTTTATCTAAACACTGCTGTGTATACCATTTTCATTTAAGTTGAAGCGTTAAACACAAAAAATAGTTGAGTCGATTTACTGGGACCTTCGGAACCTAGTATTTCGATCGTTTGTATGCTGATTTGGTGAAAGTTGGGTGTGTACTTATCATAAAATAGAACATATCTTATGATTTTGGTTTTTCTCTTGGTCAAAAAAGCTTCAGGACAATATAGAATATTCATTGATTAAATTGATCTGTTGTTAAATTACTAGAGGCTTTGATATTTAAAATGAGTACTTATTTACTGTAGATTTTTTGGATCAATATTGAATACAGTAGATAGATACGTGGCTACTATAACTGATAAAATCTATGCGTCTTTGAAGTTTTTTCTTGGGTCACTCATTTCAAGTGAAATAAGCACAGCTATATGCACGAGCTATCTAAAGAAGCAGAGTTATTATTCGGTGCACCGAAATAAACAATAGAAATAGAGTTTTGATTTATTATGTACATGAAATTAAAAAAATAATACAGAAAAGGTTATTCGATTACATGAATAGAAAAAACCCAAGAAAAAGCGTCACTAAAGCAATGATATTCTTTGTAAATGGCATTTCTGTAATAGTAACTGACAAGTGCTTTCCATCACTACTGCTAGTACTATTATTTTTATTCGTTTCTTTCGGCAACATCGAAGTATTACTAGGCGCCGACAAACTTTTAGTAGGCTTATCAAGCGGATAATAAGTTTTTGGTTCTTGAGTAGCCGTCCTTGTAATAGTAAATGGCTCCAATGAATTTCCGAAAACTACAACCTCCCCATCTTTAGTGTTCACCATCGACACACACTGCACGTGAATATAATACGCCGTGTTATTTTTCACAGAACCGTATCCAATAACCGGTACAATCCACTCATAGTACATTTCTTGGACGCCAGTCGCAATTTCTGTCTGGTATTCGGAAGACATTTTAGGTTTCGCCGCGGTGCCTTTTACGGATGGACTGGCGACTAAACTCACGTCAAAGTTTATGAGTGGCGTCATTGCAGTACAGTTTGCTGATTTTTGCCAGCGTATCACGACTCGGTCGTTAGGACTGACAACTGTTTCGGGAGTTGGTGTGACCACGTCAAGACATGGTACCTGGCCGCGTTCCCAGGGAAAATATGGATCGAATTCACCTTTTTGGGGGTGTGCATTTCCTGCTCCGATTGGACCAAGCCCACCACCTCCTTTGGGATTTAAATTTGGTAATGATATACCAGGTGAATCTAGTTTAGAATACGTTGAAGACACGATTAAAGATAAAATTACGATTACGATAATTATTAATTTATCTTTACAAAACATTTTTATTTGGCAATTCGAAGATAAGCAGCAAGTTATCTCTTGGCTGAATAGAAACTATTTATTCTATTTCGACTTGAAACTTATATATGCGTGATAATCATTCCAAGCTGATATGATTGATCATCTACAAAGACCACAAGTTCAGATTAGTGTAAACCAGTCAGTTTCGGTTTTATTAAATTCATCATCATAATCACATTTTATTATGTATGTATTTTGATTTGACGTTTCTGTTTGATGTCGTATTTATAGTGTCTCTGGTTGAAATATTGGGGTGTATCATGCATTATCTACCGTAAAGCGTACTTCCTTTATAAAATCCAGACCTTAATTTAAAACCATTATGCTTTCCCAAAAAATTAACTGTGAATCTTGAATTATTCATTTTGCAAAAAATAAGTGGTTTAACTAGAAAAAAAAATTGGACAAAGTTTAAAGTTCTACAAGGCTTTATTGATGTCGTAAGTATTGTGGCGAACTCACTAGTGTATATTCAAGCATGCTAACTTTGAATGCTTCATATGTCACATTCAAAATTAGCATGTTTGAATATACCTATATGGGACCAAATACCCATTCTCCTAATTTAAATTGGATCATTTCTACTTAAACAGTCCCATATACATTGGTGAGTTTGTCACAACACCGCAATACCCGAATGTCAATTCCGGAGTAAGGATTTTTGTCAAATTAAATTAAGTAATTTTATAGAGAAAGCTAAGTCTACAAATAGACAGAGGAAATGCTTGTTTTTAAAAGTTTAATAATGCTTTAAAATAGTACCCTGCCATGGCAAAAATGATCAGATCACGTGCTGATTGTGGCACAAACCAATAAAAATGCCTAAATTTTTTATCAGCCGGAAAAACAAATCCGACGCAAGTAAAAAATACAGGAAACAGATGCCTAAATCCAGCTTGGCACACTAAAAAAAAGAGTCGGGAAGGCAATTTTACATATAATCTTAACTCCAGCTCTAGCCCTAACCCTAATCCTAACCTTTAAATTAAGCTTTAACAATAACCTCTATCACCGTAGAATTTTTCCGGACCTACACAAATATCACATGATCCGGCCCTTTTTTTGCCATGGCAGGGCACTACGTATATGACGTTCTGGATTATGTCATATTAATAGGAGAATAAAATGATCAACACAAAAATACATTGGAATTTGCCATATTATTACCCCTGCTAAAGTACCTACCTCAATTTTTCTCCTTTGTGCTAATTAACCTTGTGCACAGAATGCATAAGATCTCGGGCAGTAAATTAAGGTACATTGACCCTCATTGACGTAGAGAAAATCTGTTTTTATTACACTCCCATTGAAGTAGAGTAGATCTGTTTTTTTTACACGTATATAACTTCTCTGGTAGGAAAATGTGATTGAAGCAATAAATGGCGCGCGTTATGGTTTTAGCATAGCTAATTCAAAACTTTTGGAAAGATCAAGACAAAATACAAAGTCTTTTTTAGAACTCGTGTAAAACTGGATCAGATGATGCAAGCAAAGGGAAAATAGGCAATTCACACGAATAACACAGACGTAACGCGGGATTCACTCTCACAATGGAAACGTTAACAAGCACACATCGCATATTGAAGACCACATGGACAACTTTTCGATTTGTTTTATTTCATAAGAAGAAAATGCATCGTTCGAGATTGAAAATGGTCTCGACAACATACTGTTATTATTGTTGATTCGTGACCAAAGGCTACTACTAAATAGATCACCACAATCGAAATGAGAATGGACAATTTTTCCAATGTGAATTTTTATTAATAAGATAAACTAAAGTATATAGAGGAAGAAAGGACAATTTTCAATGTGAATATGAATAAGATAAATATAACATATATAGAGGAAGAAAAAAAAAACTTATAGAAAATACAATTAACAGAAAAAGAGTAAAATAAATAAAAAAGCACCACCATCCATCGAATTTCTATAGTAATTACAAAGAAATATTAAACAAACAAGGGTTCTGAGGAAGAAAATATTACGCCAACCAAATAGTCACATTAAAAACTCTGTTTTGTTCCCTTCTAAGTTATTCACATAAAACAATTATTTTTGTTTAGCATTATCATTAAAAGGAAGTAAGAAATGAATAAACAATATATATGCAATTTAAGAAAGGCAGGCCAGGAAATTTTCGAAAAAAGGGATTAAGTAAAAAAGGGGTGCCGATTAAGATGACACAGCAATAAATCTAACAATAAAAATAGTAATAATAGAGAGAGAGAGCGCGAGAGCGTGGTAAAAATAATATGGAAAAGAAAGAGCAAATAAAATAAAACGAAAGAAAAAGGTATATTCGTAAAGAGTTTTTGCATTCAAAAGAGAAAACTTATAAGAAAATCATAATGACTATTATATGTGCTTGCCGAGCGCACATAAATAGTACTTACAGAAAAGCATAAAAACAAGCATGAATTTTTAAAAAAAAATTACTGAGCATCAGGAAAAGCATAGAATCATATAATAAAGATAAAGGATTTTGTTGTTGTTGTCGTTAAAGAAACAGAATTTGCAAGAATCCGTGATTTTTAAAAAAAATAAAAAAAAATTAGAAATAAATATTTACACAAAAAAATGACGACGACGAATGATTAAAACGAATAAGTTTTAAAGGTAATAATAAAAAAGTAAAAAAAAAAGTAAAAAAAAAAAGAAATCGATGATCGATTAGAAACACTTTGAGGCGAACCCAGCAGCAATCTCTAGATCAGACTTGAACTTTTCACATTCTGGTTCAAGGTTACTATTCTGCAACGACTTTTTAAACTCTTCTTTATTAGGAAGCTTCAATTTCTCAGTGAAAATGTCAGCGAACTTTTCGTAATATAATCGCAACTTTTCGAAACAAAGCCTAGGAATCTATTCGAACAAAGAAAAAACGAAAATTATGGTCAACCAAAATAAAATCGATGTATTAAAAGGAATTATTGCTTACTGTTTTGTCACTATCTCCTAAAGGAACCAAATATATCGTTAACGTTGCATCAGCCCATCCCTGTTGCCGTAGTGTACGATCGAATGAGCGCACTAGGTTGTTGTCAATGTTTTGCTCATTTAGAATTGAGTGACGTCTTTCTTGTATTGAGCTCAAGGTTGGACCCGGATTTCTAATAAATATAATGAACAAAGAGATATAACGATTGGTATCATAAAATCCTAACAAGAATCAAAATTGATAAAATACACTTACATTACATCGAGAGATTCCTGTTTTAATAAAAGAGACGTGAGCATTAATTTGGCAAACTTAATAATCAGCTGGATGGTTATAAATAAATTACCTTATACTCGAAATATCCACCCTTTTTCGTGACTCGATAAATCTCTTTGATTAGCTGGAGAATGTGATCCATCGGCTTGAATACTAACAGGGATTTTACATGAACCAGGTCAAATGTTTCATCAGGCTAAGAAACAAATAATTTCAAAATAATATTAATAATTGACATTAAACAATACAATATAAACATAAATGATTCAACTTACATATGGAAGCCCATCTATTCAGAATCGTCGAAACAATAAATAAATATATTAATATTTATAATTCTGATTATCGATATTGCAATCCAATAAAACTTACCAGTAAAATCGCCTTTAAGAAAATTACAGTTATTTGGATAAGTGCTGTCTGGCGTGTCAGGATCCAGATCGATCCCGTAGAATTGACATTCTGGAAACGCACTGATAGCAATAAAATACAAATGTATGGTTTATAAAAAGCTTATTGACAAGAGAAGAATGCGATAAATAAAACGTATACCTTGCCATTTCCATCATCCAGATACCACATCCGTATCTATTACCAAGAAACATTAACCAAATAATGGAAACATGTCTTCATTACTCAAATATATAACAATATATTTACCCTACTTCAAGGCATTTCTAAATAAAAGTAAAAATTTAATTAGCATCATGCCAACAAAATTAAATCTAATAGTTTGCACAAAAGTCAAAGTTTGTATTTACCTCCATATTATTTGCGTTGATTGGGCACACGTAGTTACCTCCAAGAATTTTTTTGAAAACATAATGCTGTGAAAAAAAGGTAAATAAATTAGTATAACGAATTATTGTTAGCTACGTTAGATAGGATAAGTGAATGTACTCACTGAGATCAGATCCCGATCATTCTGTTTTTAGCGGATTTTTCGATAATATTTTCACAAATCAGAATCAGACAAGAAAGAGACTCTAATAAAAAAATCATATACGACTTATTTACCTCTGGTTCGCTTAACCATCGTTTCTCTTCAAGTTCATTGATGTGTCCCCGTTGCTGTTGTAAACCTTGAACAGACTCTGACTGCATTGCCATTATAAAGTGATCGATAAATTGGTTGGGAGTTGGTGTTGTGTATGGGTTATTGATGATGAAAACAAAACGAAAAAACGTTTGTCTTCGGGATTATAGAGGAATCGGGAGAGAGGGTAAAGGGATTCGTGAATATTCGTTATGTGATGATCAAAAATTAAAGAAAGAATGTGTTATGAAGCGATAAACAAAATAAAATGAAAATGCTCGTTGATTTTTTTGAACGTCAGGCTTTTATAAAGATTTACCTGTCTTGTTTGTATTATATCACTACTTTATTTGTTATTTTATTTATTTATATCATTATTTAATTTATTTGTTATAATTGCGGGGTAATAAAATTAGGTGATAAACATGACGATAAACTAACGCTAATACTAATATCTACGATGAACAGAAGATTAGTTCCGAATATCTCTTTACGATTAACATAGAAGATTATTTCCGAGTTATTATTATCCCGAGCGATTATAACTAGAATTAACACACTAATAGCGATAATCATCGAAAGTTCTTATAACAAATGTATGACACAATAGTAAATTACAAAATATAATATATTCGGTACAACCTTCTACATACACGCGTGTCGACCAGATGTGGTATACCACATCCCTGCATATACAGAACAGATGAAACAACTCATAAAAGTACATTATTTTCTAAAGTAATAAGCTATGAATGAAATATGGCTAGAATGTGTATATTTAATTGGTTCTTTTTATCGACGAATGACTCTTTTCATTTCTCAGTGCCTCTACATTGCTTCTCTTAGTTATCTCCGCCTTCTCTCTTTTTGCGAAACAGAATGAAATAGAAATAGCGGAAGAGAGAGGATAGATTGATCAAATGAAAGATATTTAAGGGAAAAAAAATAATGGATTAATCGAAACGTACATATATACATACATACGTACATAATCAATAGTGAATGAAAAAAAGGATTTATCGTTTGAAGAGTCTAATTACGTAGGTGAATTTATTTTCGGAGAAAAGTTCTGGTTGGTATATTTTGTCCGACCGAGTTTCTTTTTTTTTTTTGCGTGTGGCGACGTCTAATTCGTGTTCCTTTAGAACGACAGCCACACACTTTTTTTTGTTTTCTTAGGAGTGTTACATCCGAATATTATGTTTCACAGTCCATGCTCTCTAAATTATCTTCTCTCTCCTGCACGACCTTTTATTCATGAAGCACAAGATAAGGTTTTGCTACGAACCCCAGAAGATGTTATTGATCTCATTATTAGTGTTAATATGAGTATTATTAAGCTAATGAATAGGGATCCTTCAAACTTAATTAAAAATAAATAAAATAAGTTTGAAGAACTCAATTTCTAATTTTCGAACAATGGACTCTCTTTCTAATCTAGGTTTGCATACCGGTTTAAACTTTATCCAAAAATTTTTAACGTTATATATGAAATTTTGGTTCCTTCTTCACGCCGAATGATACCCTTCGTACTCGTTGAAAACGTGAAATTTTAGATTATTTAGCATGATACAAAGACCCGACTATGAAACTTTATTTGGGAACTAAACGTGTTTTATCTAAGCTTAGTCATGACGATAACACAATGGTCGTCAGCTAACGTGCTAGCTGCAAAGAATGATGAGGTTTCACCTTTTAATACTGCATTAAGAAAAAAGGAAACAAATAAACGGATATTTTTCATCACCGAAAAATCTTCGGAATTTTTTTTTTCGTGGGATCTATCTTATCATCGCGATTGTTGATTAAGGGAACGAAAATAAAGTTTCAATCCTCATGCGCACTTACATGAATACGTGTAGGCATACGTAATGTCATCTGTCTGTGTACATGTGTGTCTGGAATACATACGAATACGGTATGTGTAGTTGTCCTTATCCCGGTTTGACCTTAAGCATGGGAACTGTTGATGTATGTATGTAGCTACCTAGAGATTTCTTGCTTGTATTTTTTTGATTCATTTCGTTAGTTTGATGCGAAATTAGAAAACATGGTTTTGTTTTTTCTCGATTAAACACACACACATACAATCAAAATCCGACATGACAAAAAAATTTGCCGGCGAAATGTAGGAGAATTTCATAGTCTTTCGATGAATGAATTTGTTAAAGACCATTATTCAAAAACCAATAGATCGGCAGGTCATAACTCAAGGTCTAGACTCTTGACAGGCAACACAAGTTGCGGTTACATTTAATAAATTGACATACATAGAACATACATACAGTGCACACGACAACGAGAGCAACAGAGAACAAATTCTGAATTTTAGATGTCAAATCTCGTCTGTCCGAATTAAAGATACTGGATTCTATGCACAAATTCTTTAGTTTAAGAACAAAATTATGTCATTAATAATCGTAAAAAAAAGAATCTCGAATCTTTTCATTCTCGCGTCCTACCCGAATTGGTGGTTAATTTTACTGCATGCATGTAAATATCTGCTAAGCCACTAATCGAATAACTTTAGGTTTTCATTTATCGTTTACAAAACAAAGCTATGCAGAAAAAATCAATCACTTTCGTTTAGTCTTGATGAGCGTGCGAGTCAGATTTTCTGTTAATCGTTTTTTATTTCGAAAGCTAATTAATTACATCATTAGAAACCAGATGACCGACCAGACGCTCGTATCGCTCAAGCATTTGTTACACTGCGCATGTATTTAATTAAAGAAATAACGAATTTAATTTTTAAAATTGAGCGAAATAAGGCAACCTTATACGAGAACGTTCGAATGTTATACGTTCGGTAGACGGGTGCGTCTTTTTTCGATATGCCTTTTCTTGAAGTAATTTTTAATTCCGGTTTGTTTGCTGTGATTGGAAACTAATAACATTTTATGCGTATCGTATCTTTGAAATGATTTTTCAGTTGTTTGAATGACAAAGCAAACTCGTTAAACCGAAGTGGTCGAAACAGTAAAACCAGGTTCAATTGTAAGTTCAGTTATCCGGGTTGTTGTTTTTTAATTGGTGTAAAGTCATGTATGTTACAACGGACATTCAATTTAAAAATTCTCCGTTTCACGATGTAATTTTTAATGAATGTAATTAGAAAGTTTATTTTTTTGAGCTACCGCTACGTACATACGCATAATTCAAATATTGACTTTTGAATTTTGAAGTAAATAATATTGGTCTGATTAACGTATGAAACCTGCCGTTTATGTGCGTATTACAGGCACCTATAACCAAAATAAAAGTCTAATCTCTTGGTGTTGATAGGCTAGTTTAACGTCAGTTATATCTGTAGAACGGTGCATTTTGGCATTACAGCTTATGTTATGCAGGTGCATTTTGTGTTTTTAAACCAAAATTTTTACGTACGTAACTATCGCTACGTATCATTTTCTTATTAAGTCAAAATGAATGGGCATCTATCGCTATAGTTAGATTATTTGTTTGTGAAATGGGGGAATTTTTTATTTTTGGAATATTTACCAAAAGACGCCTCTTTTCTCGAAAATTACAAGATATCCTTGTTTTTGTCGTAACTTGATTCACATTCGTAATGTACGTTCATCATTCAGTTGAAGCCGAATTACAAATTGATTCAGAAAGAAAGAATAAAAAGGATACTGATCTAAGAATTTTAATACGAAAGTAAGATTATGTTATCGTATTCATTTTTCGTGAAAACAAACGTTATTCTTTACTCGCAAGACGAATTTATTAAAGTGGTTTGCTTCGAAAAATGATGTTGAAGTATTTTTCTAGTAAAGTCAAATCCCTCTATAGTCACACCATTTATATAAAAACCATACTATAATCACCTTTTTTCAAGAACCAGTTATAATAAAAGCAACCTCACTATAAACACATTTATTATAAACCCCCGCTAAAATCACATTCATGAAAAAATTACTATTGGGCCCGACTGTGTGACTATAGAGGGGTTGACTGTATAAAAGATACCACCCTATTTGAAAACATTCATTAAATTTTTATGCGAAAGTCTATTTGCGATGCTTATTGATTTCTCTTGTTTTAATGTTGTGGCATAAAATTAGTTTTAGAAAGTTTTTTTTTAAATAATAATTGCATTTTGTCATGTTTAAATTGCATACTAGATGAAACAATAGCACTTGTTTTTATGTTATTTTAATCAATTCTTGATTGTTATTTTTTAAAATTGTTTCAAAAAATAATTATAATAATTTTCTTGGATTAATGAGAAATTACAATGAATTTGCTCTATTAAGCCATTAACTATTAAGTTTCAAGCCGACTTGGCCAGCCACTGGTGTGTCTCGAGCCAGCTCGGCTATCTACTGCCTATTTAGATGCTGAAACCACCAGCTGTGCACATTTATTATATTTTTGCTGCTTCTTTGTGTACATGTTCTATATTACATGTGTATGTGGCTCTTAAGCTTTACCAGCTCAACCTCAGCTATCCATTGAAATCTTCAATCTGATTAGCTGTCAAATTCACAAAGCCGGCTGGCTAGCTAAATGGTTACGATTACTAACTGTTATATGTTTTTATATGTGAAGCAAAGATTTTAAAAATTCGTTATAATGTGAATTTAATTATTGATCCGTTATAACGGAGTCAGTTATAACGAGGGGTCAAGTGCATAAACATGTCTGGAAATAACGACATAGCTGGGACACTAAAAAATGTCTTTATGTCATTCATTATATAAAGCTTGTCTACATTAGGTTACTATGGTGGTGTCGCTATATAAAAGGTCGATTTTTCTATGATGTGATTATATCCAGACTATATTTTTCTAATGCAAATAATATATGTACATATACTTTATCAATCGGGGTTTCATACGGATGTATGATTTGATTCTTTTTCATCTGGTTATTGTTGAAGGATTCAGATGTGGTTTTTGGGATAGTCTCATTCTCTAAATTAAACAGTTAAATACGTCGATTCTAGAAGTAAAAAGAATAGAAAATGTTTTCATTATAAAATAACGCAATATGTATGTATTGAGCATGCATGAGGATACGATTACGTACGTATCGCTTAAAACATTGCATATTAATATCCAAATTTAACGTTAATGCATCAAAAATTTATCGCATTGTTAACATTAATACGCACATTTATTAGGAAAGCGTTCGAACAAAAACATGCATTGTTATCGTTATGCATGTATGGAATAGCGTTAATACATGGATTAAGCCAACGCTACTGATAGGCTGAAACTGAAACAATGAACAGTTACCGAAACAATGCTATTCCAACCTTAATTAAATTAGTTAATTAATATCAGAATGCGTTTATTTGATAATGTCATGATATGCACCCTTTGCATTTATATAAAATTTACAGTAATTTTCATACTCAGAATATTTTTTTTTGCATTTATCACTGATATTAAAATGGCACTTTTTGAATGGAGAGCTAATCTCCACACTAACTTGTTATGGTAATCACTTATTACATGCGAGCTCCTTTTCGTTTGTTTAATTGTGATGTTTCAGACTACATTCTCTATCGTATCAAAGTACAGCAATAAATCTCTGTGGTTGCCTTCGTTTATCTTTAAGAGTTAATCAAAGAAACTATATTTTTAGACAAGAAGTTTGTAAATAAACTGATTCTAATTGTTATGCAATCATATGATGTCAAAATGAATGTCCTAACATGCAATAATTAGTTTTTTTTGCAACAAAATCTATAGTTGAACGATGCCTTTCAGCTAAATTCAATTGTTAAAAAATCTAATTTAAAAGAAGTACGTCTTACAATTACAAAAGAAATTCGTGCTGATATACAGTCAACTCTGGTTACAATAACATCCTTTACAATAAAATTTTAGATACAACTCTGGTTACAGTAACAAGTAACATTCTTTACAGTGACATTTAGATACTGTGACACTATCACTAATACACTGTATATAGATAACTTTGGTACACTGTACAACCCATGCCTTTTGAATGGCAACTTTGTTCTATAAGAAAATGAAACACAAATGGGGTACAAATTGATCAGCCATATTTTTTATTCCATATATATGTATACCGATATGTATTTACTATCATAAGAATAACAATTATTGCATGTAAAAGGATATAAAAGGATAAAAGGATAAAAGTCTTCTGTCTATAATGTTTACTTGTTTACTTAGTTATTCAACAAATACTTTTCATAATTTAAAACCTCTTCCAAAGATGTTTTTTGTTGAAGACAATTAATTGGACTTTGATCGAAGTTCCTTAAAGAAAGTGAATTATAAGTTTCGAATATATCTGAATTTTCATAATCATAATCATAGTCACAATCATAATCATAGTCACAATCATAATCATTCTCTATTATTAAGTTTTTGTTATTTACTATGACAGTCCCAATAGCTTGAGGAAACGAATTGACGTTGCCATTTATCTGGGAGTTAAATTCGCTTATTAAAGTGTTATGAGCATCGGGGATCGAAAAAATTTCACTTGGTAAGGAAGAGATGCCATTGTTAAAGGGCCCGATTTCGAAACTTCGTAACCAAATTGGATCGAGGAATTTATTTGTATCAATTTCGCGAACGTTTCCAATTGCATGGCGAGATGAATTGACGTTATCATTTGGAGAATTATGAGTATAGCGACTCGCGCCTGGTGATGAAGAATCGATACCGTCTAAGGGCTCAATCCCGAAGCTTTGAGACAAAATATTCTCGACATTGTTTGGAAGACTTTTGACGTGAGGTTCTAATAAAATTGGAAAATCTTTCTTCGATCTTGCACGTTGCTTTAGTATTTTCATGCGTAGATTTTTGAAAATTTCCTGAAATTCTGATGGTAGTTTATGCCACGTCATTTTGAAAATGTGAGAAACCTTCTTTCTTGCTGGGGTGTTTGAAGTGTTAATTAAGCAATCATTTTTATCACACGACCAGCTGTCTTTGCACCGAGAGCGGGAAATTTCCAGTGACATTCGATAGAGTAGTGCGAAGTTTGGTGTTTTTTTACCGGTCTCGTAAAAAATGTGGAAATTATTTTTTTCATTGACCAAGTCGATCTCCAACAAATGAATGCACAATGAACCCCTTATCACTACAGTCAGAGGTTCATAAAATACATCGATATAAGGGTCAATTGTCGACATAGTGTAATTAAGCTTGAATGTTATATATAACTGGTTTTATGAACAAAAATTAAATAGAACGAAAGAGCCTCTATATATACGTGTTTTCGACTTTTGGCCTTATACTGATAGTGTAATCATAAAAAGATCTCTGTTTATTGAGCTTTGATCAAATGAGTTGCACATAAGCATACGGTATAAAGAACCAACATATTGTTTATTTCTCCCTGCAGCAGCTTTGTCTGTCCAGATATTTTTTTAAAGAAGCACAATTATCTCACGGAAAACTTTGCCTCGAACTCAGCAGCGCCTTTTTTCCAAATGCGTCAATGAAGAAAATAAAGGGTAAAAGATAATGAAAAAAATTTTCAAACGATTGAACTTAGTTGTAACCGAAAATTCAAAAGGAAAAATTTGCCACCGTTTTCGCTTTGTTATGAAGTAGTAGCAAGATATAACTTTATTGAAGTTACTCTCTATTTACTTTATGACGTAATTGTAACTTAAAAGCACGAGAAATCCCACACCTACGACAGATGTCCAATATATTAGTAAATTATTTCATTGTTGTTATCGATAAGGCTGGTCACTGAAGAGGTACTTTTCGGTATCTTTTATTTGCAGTCTGCAAAACTGCCGATAAGGAAAATTTGAAGCGTAAAGTTTAAAAGTACAGTCGTCCCTCGTTGTTATTAACATCATGGGACTGAAATATTTTGTTGATGTGGATAACTACGGGTTTAGAGTTAATATATAATTTGCTAACAACGGGGTGTTAATATTATCGGGGTTGATAATAACGGGGTCTGACTGTACATACACCAATCAAAACGACAGAGCAAAAAGTTTGTCAATGAAAAAAGATAAATAGGTGTGTATAACATTCCCTGAAAGTTGATAAAGATTTGATCAAGTGTAAAATTTTCATTAGTAAAAATATGCTAGAGTGATACCCTCCCTAAATGCACGTCACAAAGATCTATTCTCCAAATGCACGAACTTTATACACTTTATAAATGCACGGTCCATAAGAGGATGTTTTAGGGAGGTTTCTGTATGCTTTTGATTCTAATTACGTAAATTGCGTAAATGGTATTTAATGAATGGAAAACAGTTAAATATCTTAAATTTAGTAATTAGTGAATAACCAAGGTTTTTGTACTCAAAACATGGAACAGCAAGTGCAGAAGGTCTAAGTGTAATAATACACCTTTGGCAATGGGAAATCACCTGAACGTTACAGATAACCTTATTAAATAGACTATCTTAGCTTATTGGTAGATTATATTTTATATCAATTTTCGCAGGTGATGTGTGGCTTGGAAATCAATTTTCGCAGGTGATGTGTGGCTTGGAAATCAATTTTTGATCAATCAGGTAATTCATTTTCCAAAGAAGCTTCAAGACTATTGCAGTGAATCATTTTTTGTTATATAATTCAGTACCATTGATAGTTAGAATCAATATTAATTACTATACGGAGAACAAAGTTTCGAGTACTGAAGAAAATATCCGCTGCATATAAAACGCTTTTTTTGCATATACGCACATCCATTATTAACTAAGCCGGCTATGCATTCCCGCCAAAGACTAAGTTTGTAAAAAATATAAATGAGAATAACCCTAATACATTATGATCTGATAGTGCACATACGTACTTGTCCAACCAAATGTCCTCATTAATTTGAACATAAAGAGCATCTTTGTTCGAAGAGATGTTCTCAAATGAAAAGTAATGTTCTCGTAAGAACATAGATTTCATCACATTTCTTATGACGAAAGATCAACTAAATACATGTATTTGTCATATCATGCATAAGTAGATAAAAAAAACTTTATTTTAGCGGGAATGCGTAGTCAACTTAGTTTTTGGCGAGAGTGCAGAGTTTTCTAATTATATGAGAACATCAAATCCAGATCAGATTTCTATCACTGCTTGAGCTAATCATAAAATTCCGAAACGTCCTTTTATGGAAGCATTTTACTTTATCGAACCTTCTTTTGAAGTCGAGGTCCGAATCGCTCGTCGTTCTTCAATAAATTGACTATCCGATTTGAATCAAATTTAATCGGATTATAAAATTGCAAGATAATTCGGATCCAAATTATTCAAATCACGTTGACAGACCTGAGAATACATTTTTCGGTGAGTGAGATATTAAATAGCATTTTACAGTATTTACTTAGCCACACACTGCGTTGTGACCTGTATATTATAGAACTTAACAAAACTAAGTACCAATATGTTTCTTTTTACAGTAAGAATAACGATAATAATTCGAACGGAGGACTATGAAAGTAAATTATAATCCATTTAGCAACTCAATTAATTCCCCGAATAACTAATCTAACTAATTCAACGTTCCGATACTTTAAATGATCCGATATTTCAAATGATCGGTTGTTTCGTAGTTCGAATTACCCATTCGAATTGATATCAGTAATTCAGATCCGAATTGAATTATTCGGACCTCAACTTTTAAGCCTTCTCGCAGGCAGAAAATTTATTGCATTCCGACAAAATTAATTATATGGGTAAAAATAAGGTAGCTGAAAAACTTATTGAATTCTGAAGTTGAAAAGAATTTCCGTAGTTTGCACAATGACCTATGCACGTACATGTACGTAATGGTAAAATTTTTTCATGCATCCGTTTTGTGTATTACATGTACTACGTACGTATGCAGCAAATCTCGTATCGGTATTTCAAAATTTTTTAGCACTAAATTATAAATTATACATAAATTAATTATACGTAACTAATAAAAAGTAAATGGATTATATCTCTACCAAAATCATAAACTAAATTGTACATTGAATCACATACAGTTGTGTTTATGAAAATATCAACCTATTAACATGCCAGTGATTCAAGCAATACTATATTTAGAAATGCTTTGAAATACCTTGCCGCCGAAAATTTTTAATAATGGTAAATGAAATCTCTTTTCTTTCTATATTATCTCATATCTAAACTAAAAGTTCAATCAAACTAACCAAAAGTGAATCATATGAACTCGATTTATGCTATAATTGCCCTTTGTTCTGGATAATGAAATCCTTTGTTACCTATGAAAAAATAGCGCTGCAGCCCTCGGGTTAGAAAAATGCCTCGATCTTCAGGAACAAGTTATTATACTTTGAGCCGTTGTAGTCGCGTACATTCTATGAAGACTTTCGAAGCATTATCTATTCATTCATGAATATACATTTCGGATCGGAATCCTTTACTTTTCTGCAGGGATGAAAGCTTCTGAATATATATTTTGTTATGTAATCATTATATTCTTTTTTTTATTATTTATTTAATGGTTAAATAGTAAAAAACAACTATATAATAATTGGCTCTCCCATCTTTTTTAGTTATCCTTGTATTCGAGGCTTTCGCTCAACATGTCTGTGAATACTATAGTGGTAGCATTTATTCTCCCATTTATTCTAAGGTTAATTTCACCTTTATGCACACACCGTTTAGAGCTAGAATTGCTAGGCGACGAAGAAGCATTATACAAATTTTACGACGAAAAAAGAAAGATACCGAACTGCGCAATTCTATATCGAATGACCTTAGAGTACTCGCGTTCCCGTGATATTGAGCGATGGCATTGTACTCAAAAAGATTGTGTTTTAAGTCATCCGAAAAAAACGATGATTTCCCGTTTATTTAAAATTACCTGGAAAATACTCCCGCAAAATTTTAAAAGTATTTTCGAAGAGCTATACAAAAAAATTGGCGTACAACGGACCATACCAAGAAATGAAGTCGTATTTGTCTTTGATAAGAATATGGAAAAACATTATAAAAAAATTAATAATAATATCGACATAGATAACACCTCCATTATCAGCAGAGGTTACTCAACAGATAATTACAACAACATGACCGGCATATTTTTTTCGGAAAACATGAAATCATTAATAAAAAGGGACGATGAAAATACGAGTTTCGAATATTTTATTGTGAATGACTCTATTACAGGCTTGAGCTCTTCAACAAATTATTATAATGCGAATTCTGGTATCAATTTTGCAAATACTTCTAGCATCTTTTTGGAAAACACGATGCCGCATACATTTTTTAACTCGGAAAAATTATATAAGTTTATGGAAGATAATGCGGATAATAATATAATTGATAGCAATCAATTGCCCTATAAGGATAACTCTTTTATGGGCAACACGATGAATGACTACGGTATATTATTAAACAAAAATAGACGCCAAGAGATATTTGGCACTGATTCGACAAATAATGCTAAAGTCTCGTCGGAAAACTCGGGATCGCTTATAAAGAAAGATATCGCATCGCTCAACGCGGAAATAGATATGGAAAGTAAGACGATTGATAATTACATGGAAAAGAATACGAATAGATTCATTGAAGGAGATTATGATGTAATGAGTGACGCGACGTTCGATAATAATTGTTTGTTCTATTTTGATTTTGAAGAGTATTTTTAAATCGTAAAACTCTCAAGTATAACTACCAATTCTTCATACGAGTTGTTTTAGATAACGTTCGAATGTTCTGTTCAATTTTTCATACGAGTTGTTTTAGATAAACGTTCGAATGTTCTGTTCAACTTCTGTTTTTATTTCTATAATTTTCGAGTGTTCTGTTCAAAATTCGTTTTCTTTATTTGTTATCTATAATTTTCGAATGTTCTGTTTAAAATTTGTTAGAATGTCCACGATTTTTTAAGTGCGAATTTTTTCGTTATCTCGTAAAACCGAAAAAAGTAAAACGTGTATGCAACGCAATGCTAACTATAAGTTATTTTCATTATTCTTCTCGAGTCTTTTGCATAGTATTTTAACTTTCTAAATTCAATTATAACTTAATATTCGGGATTTCTTTTCATCGGTGTATGTGAATATATATCAATATTTTTCTCTATTATTATTGTATCGTTCTATGAATACGCACTTATGCATGATAAATAGATTGATACCGATAACAATGAAAAATTAAACAAAGGGGTTAAGTAATAAAACAATGAATTAAGTTAAGACTATACCATTTGGGGCTTCCCATTTTCTTATGCACATTAGTTTCTCGTGTAGAACATGGTTGCCTTCTCTCTTTGTAAAAAAATATCATTGATTACATGTACAATGTCATCATCACATCATCGATCGTCAGTATCCAGTCCGATTCGGTTTAAAAATAGCAAAATTGCACTGGAAGCCACAAGGTATGGAATCTTATCGTTATATTTATAAATTGATTTCCATGCGTGGTACAATTTAATTTGCATGAATTTAATAGGACCGTCGGTTCCAACGATCCATCCCCATGAGGATCGGACTGTTTCGATCCCAGGATGGAGCGAAGGACCATCGATCCGGTCTGGACCAACTAACCGCCCTAATCAAACTAGAATAACTGAAAAGAAGGAATAATTTTTCTAGATTTGATCAGTCGCGAAGGTAAATGATAAGGCATATTTGGAACATTTATGTGTCGATGTAGTACCGCTAGATGGCGCAGTGTTGGTAAATTTTCGGAATGATCCAAATGACCTTGATAACTAGTTATATAGCTAGTTATTGTGGAGGATTAAAACGAATGAATCTGGTGTCCGTTTTTGAATAAGAATGATAATTATAAAAAAGGGTTAATTCGTGATCAAAATGCGGATCAGTGAAAATCTATATATATATATACGTAATTAATATTGGGGATAAATTTTATCGTTATTGTTTTTGCCATTCCAGAATCTGCAGTTGCCTAAGTTAAATATATTCTTTTAATATTTAATATGAAATGAAATTTTACCAGTGTGTAGATATACCTATTAGGCATCTTTTCCTATTACAAGCTGAAAATATTTTTTAAGTTTATTTTAAGACTTAATTCAATTCGGATTTTAACTATTAATCTAGATTCGATTATACAATGTAAATCCAAAGTTAATAGTAAATTTAATATTCTTATACGGAGCACGAATTAAATAATTTGGAGATTAAGTATGGACTCAGAGTGAGTATATAGTATCATACGCAAACTTGTATTGTATGGATAACCAACCAGATGAGTATGGTATGGGTGATAGAGGTCAGTAAGATAATTTATCCCCGAACCCTTTCCGAACAAGTATAGCATACCAGTTCGAATTTGGTATACTAGTGCAAATTGGTGTATACTTGTTAGTGTAAAGTTGGGTTCAGCATAAATCATCCACCCAGGTTGGATTTTTAAATAGTTATAACTCGTGTTCTATACGTTAAACCAAAAAAATCCTCTTTAGCCAAATCGCAGCTGGATCAAATGGTTACAATTTGACTAAAGAGAATTTTTTGTTTCACGTATAGAACACGAGTTATAACTATTTAAAAATCCAACCTGGGTAGATCATTTATGCTGTCCCCAACTGTAGCACCGTATTAACTTTTGTCATTGATTATATATATATCCCGCTAGATTTCATTTTACTGATTAGTAAAAATTAAATAATTTGAAAGATATTCAAATTATTTAATTTTTAATTGGTCATTTACCAACATTAAAATATATTATGTAATTTGATGCTAATATCTTTTTTTAATGGTTATGTCATAAAGCACCAAAAATTGGTAAGAACATAATCACTCTCGATGCAACGAATAAATTTATTTACACAGGTCTAGAAATATTATTTGTCACAGAACAAAAGCCATTTGTTACATCGGGAGTGACTATGTGCTTCCTAAGAACCGGATACAATTTAGAAATTCAAATACTAGTAACTGTAGCTTGGGGTCGAACTAGAGGACAGGTTCATTTGTACGGGCATATTAACCATAGAGGTTAGTCATCTAATACATATAGAAAGAATAATATATCGAGAATGGAATTCTTTATTAATACATGTAGTAACCATGCCTTGTCAAGAATTTGCATATGTGTACTTTGTTATAATTAATCATACCCGCGGACCAGAAAAGTGACTTTAAAGGAGTAATACGAATATCAGTATGGTACGGCGGCAGTGCAGTACGTATAGGAAATTACATGTACTGATTTATGTAGCATAGTACAGTATAAAATTCAAGAATCCTACCAGCGATAACGATATGATCGACTTGCAGAATGTAATGTAAGGAAATTGTTGAATGAGATGAGATTCATATCGATATGGTTAACTACGTATTATTTATACGTATTGTTGGTGATAGTAAAATCTATAGATAAGAAATACATTAGTTTATGATGCAAGGGTCCACAATTAGTTGGTAGCTTTACAAACTTACTAAAAATTGATACAGATTCCGGATAGCCTAACGATAATAATTTTTCTCCCACGTCAACTAATATTCCTAAGTTGACAATTTGAATTGAAATCGGTTAAAATCGATTGTCTATTTGAGTGGCATCATTTTAGATAACGATAAATGAATACCAAATAATGTCCATATCTATAATTAATAGATATGTATCGGCGGTTAAAATATCAACCATTCTCTTATCTCGGAAATTTTAATACATGTAGTTAACTGACTATTTCCATATCGCTATCGGAGTCTTTATTCCGAGATTTTTATTCCAAAAAAATCTTTAGTACGTGTAGTAGAAGTATAAGAATAACCTTATTACATGTGTTCATAAATTATAAAAGAGCACGTTCCACGTTTGATTTTGATTTTGATTTTGATTTTGATTTTGATTTTTTCCCAGAATAGTAACGAGAAATTATCTTCTGGTAACTAGAACTATTTTATCATGTCAAATTCTATTGAACAGAACCAATTTTCTTGTGATATCGACCCTTCGGATCCTACAAAGATTCTTTGTTATGTAAAGGGAAAAATTTTTGTTTTTTCTATTCCAAATATTGCAGAGGTATATATATATATCTTAATTGTATAGCTATTGCATTCTTGGTATCAATAAAATTTACATTTTTACATATTCAACTATATAGTTCTCACATTGCAAGAGACCACTTAATGCCTTCATGCAATTTAGATGTTGCGTCCAAAGCGCAATAAAAGACCAAGGATTGAAGGTTCCAGAGATATCCAAAAACGCATCAAACTTATGGAAAGTAGCACCCGCCACTATTAAAGATACTTTTGAAGATTTATGCGCATCTGTTCGTGTATCGTGGAATATTATTCGATTTGTGGAAGAAAAAAGAATTAAGAAACAAAAAATTGATCCTAATGAGATTCCCGATAATTCAACTAAAAGTGACAGCATTGAACCTATTGAGATTCCGGGTCATTCAACTAAAAGCGACAACATTGAACCTATTGAGATTCCGGGTCATTCAACTAAAAATGACAACATTGTTAATTTGAATGAAGATAGCAGATGTTATGACATGTCTTCTGAATTAGCACATTCAAATTCAAGCGATGGCTCGTCTATTCATGGTCCAGCGTCTTTGTCTGAACCCATGCCTAATTCTATGCTATCTGATGGTAAGCGGTTTTTAATTAATGAATAATGTTTCAAGTCTAAATTTTTTTGATTTTCAGTAAATGCCTTTTTTTTTAGATCAATATTCTGCGATAAAAACTTTGAGTTTCCCTTTATATTCCATGAGCCTGTTTCCTGATACTTCTCTTCAATTATCTTCAAATTTATATAATTCAAACGGAGGCTCATTTATTCTTGGTTCTGAACCTACGGTTAATTATAATGTTCCTGATGGTAAGCAGTTTAGATTGATTAACTATGATATATTAATATCCATTAAATGTATCTCTTTTTCAGATCAATATTCTCCTTCGAGCTTTTGTTCTTATTACATGAACAAGCTTCATCCAGCAAATTTAACTAATAGCGATAACGGAAGCTATGACTATACTCCTCAATTATCACCTTCAAATTCGTTCAACTCAAACTATGGCTCGTCTGTTTCTAGTTCTAATTTCAATTTTAATCATATTGACTTTAATCGTAAGTAATCAACATTAATTAACTCTAGAGTATTTTTTTTAATTTTCATTAAATGTCTCTTTTTTTTTAGATCAATATCCTGCAATAAACACACAGAGATTTTATTCATCTCCTCCCATAGATTCGACACCGTTTGCTTCTACACCGCAGCAACCTTCGAATAATCACTTTGCTAACGGTATATGTTTCTTTGACATAAATCTTATTGAAAAATTTGCAAACCTTTTTACTATTGATTATTCATTTATATGGAAAAATAACTGATTGTATTCTATTTTTCTTAAAGAAACCACTCATGCAAAGTTGCCTTTCAAGCCTGATCGACGACAGGATAAAAAAAAGGAGGAAACAGATTACGTGCATAGACTAACTAAGGCTCCGTCTTCCTTAGTTCTATCCTCTTCTGCTCCATCTCCCTTAGCTTCATCTCCCTTAGCTCTATCTTCTTTGGCTTTACCCTCACCAGCT